CATGTACTGGCCTGCAGGTCAGGCAGGTCCATTTCTCATTCGCTCTTACACTCATGTACTGGTCTGCAGGTCAGGCAGGTCCACTTCTCATTCGCTCTTACACTCATGTACTGGTCTGCGGGGGCAGGAGGTCCACTTCTCATTCGCTCTTACACTCATGTATGGTCTGCAGGGCAGGCAGGTCCACTTCTCATCCGCTTTTTACACTCATGTACTGGCCCTGCAGGTCAGGCAGGTCCACTTCTCATTCGCTCTTACACTCATGTACTGGCCTGCAGGTCAGGCAGGTCCACTTCTCATTCGCTCTTACACTCATGTACTGGTCTGCAGGTCAGGCAGGTCCACTTCTCAATCCGCTCTTCCACTCATGTACTGGCCTGCAGGTCAGGAGGTTTCCACTTCTCATTCGCTCTTACACTCATGTACTGGTCTGCAAGTCAGGCAGGTCACTTCTCATTCGCTCTTACACTCATGTATTTGGTCTGCAGGTCAGGCAGGTCCACAACTCATTCGCTCTTACACTATGTACTGGTCTGCAGGTCAGGCAGGTCCACTTCTTATCCGCTCTTACACTCATGTACTGGTCTGCAGGTCAGGCAGGTCCACTTCTCATCCGCCCTTACACTCATGTACTGGTCTGCAGGTCAGGCAGGTCCACTTCTATCCGCTCTTACACTCATGTACTGGCCTGCAGGTCAGGCAGGTCCACTTCTCATTCGCTCTTACACTCATGTACTGGTCTGCAGGTCAGCAGGTCCACTTCTTATCCGCTCTTACATCATGTATGGTCTGCAGGTCAGGCAGGTCCATTTCTCACCCGCTCCTTACACTCATGTACGGCCTGCAGGTCGGCAGGTCCACTTCTCATCCGCTCTTACACTCAGTACTGGTCTGCAGGTCAGGCAGGTCCACTTCTCATCCGCTCTTACACTCATGTACTGGTCTGCAGGTCAGGCAGGTCCACTTCTCATCCGCTCTTACACTCATGTACTGGCCTGCAGGTCAGGCAGGTCCAACTTTCATTCGCTCTTACACTAAATGTATGGCCTGCAGGTCAGGCAGGTCACTTCTCATCGCTCTTACACCATGTACTGGCCTGCAGGTCAGGCAGGTCCACTTCTCATTCGCTCTTACACTCATGTACTGGCCTGCAGGTCAGGCAGGTCCATTTCTCATTCGCTCTTACACTCATGTACTGGTCTGCAGGTCAGGCAGGTCCACTTCTCATTCGCTCTTACACTCATGTACTGGTCTGCAGGTCAGGCAGGTCCACTTCTCATTCGCTCTTACACTCATGTACTGGTCTGCAGGTCAGGCAGGTCCACTTCTCATCCGCTCTTACACTCATGTACTGGTCTGCAGGTCAGGCAGGTCCACTTCTCATCCCTCTTACACTCAGTACTGGTTGCAGGTCAGGCGGTCCATTCTCATCCGCTCTTACACTCATGTACTGGCCTGCAGGTCAGCAGGTCCATTCTCATTCGCTCTTACACTCATGTACTGGTCTGCAGGTCAGGCGGTCACTTCTCATCCGCTTTACACTCATGTACTGGTGTGCAGGTCGGCAGGTCCACTTTCATCCGCTCTTACACTCATGTACTGGTCTGCAGGTCAGGAAGGTCACTTCTATCCGCTCTTACACTCATGTACTGGCCTGCAGGTCGGGGAGGTCTACTTCTCATTCGCTTTTTACATCATGTACTGGTCTGCAGGTCAGGCATGTCCACTTTTTTATCCGCTCTTACACTCATTTTAATGGTCTGCAGGTCCAGGCAGGTCCACTTCTCATCCGCTCTTACACTCAGTACTGGCCTGCAGGTCAGGCAGGCCCAAACTTTCATCCGCTCTTACATCATGTACTGGTCTGCAGGTCAGGCAGGTCCACTTCTCATCCGCTCTTACACTCATGTACTGGTCTGCAGGTCAGGCAGGTCCACTTCTCATCCGCTCTTACACTCATGTACTGGCCTGCAGGTCAGGCAGGTCCACTTCTCATTCGCTCTTACACTCATGTACTGGCCCTGCAGGTCAGGCAGGTCCATTTCTAAATCCGCTCTTACACTCATGTATGGCCTGCAGGTCGGCAGGTCCACTTCTCATTCGCTCTTACATTCATTACTGGCCGGGCAGGTCGGGCAGGTCCACTTCTCATCCGCTCTTACACTCATGTACTGGTCTGCAGGTCAGGCAGGTCCACTTCTCATCCGCTCTTACACTCATGTACTGGCCTGCAGGTCAGGCAGGTCTACTTCTCATCCGCTCTTACACTCATGTACTGGCCTGCAGGTCAGGCAGGTCCACTTCTCATCCGCTTTACACTCATGTACTGGCTGCAGGTCAGGCAGGTCCATTCTCATTCGCTCTTACACTCATGTACTGGCCTGCAGGTCAGGCAGGTCCACTTCTCATTCACTCTTACACTCATGTACTGGCCTGCAGGTCAGGCAGGTCCACTTCTCATCCGCTCTTACACTCATGTACTGGCCTGCAGGTCAGGCAG